TCCAGCACACACATTTCTGCTGAGTATCTCTAGGAAAGCAAAGTTTGCCTTACTAGAAGGTAGACTAAAATTTAAATAACCCAGCCAAGCACTATTAGAGGGGAGTTACAAGTGGAAAGGGTGGCAATTGCACATATTCCTAATTGACAGAGATGCTTAAGCACATGCTTTAGTTAATGACACAAATAATCCAGCAAACTTTTCCATCCAAAGTGGTGTTGTCAGCTCTCTCCACTGCTTTGCTGCTCTCTTGCTGCACCCATGAAGCCTCTGCCACTTGGATCAGTTGCTGAAGCCCAAAGTTTTGCAGCCTCAGCACTACCCAGCCCTTTGGAGCAGCTCAGGTTCCCCCTGTGCTCCATCCCAGCTGAGCCCTGTGCTCCTGCAGAAGCTGTGGTGTGGATCCTGCCACTTGAGCTCACTCTGGAATTGGCACTCTGGTGGTGCTCACAGAGGCCAGGCTGCTTCCCCAGCTCCTGAGGGCGTGTGCAGGGCCAGCACTAGTGGGGAAGTCTCAAAAGTGGGAGCAAACCCACTTTCCTCTGAAGGGCCCATGCCACCAGGAACCCAATTTCAGTTTGTTTGAATAACTCCTGACACAGCCACAGCCCTGCAGGGGCACCAAACCAGAGCACACAAATCAGTGATACATCATGCCTAAACTCCAAATGTATTCCCAGCCCTGCAGGGGCCAGAGAAAGGGAGACTCAACAAGGGCAGATCTCCCTGACTCTCACACCTTGAGCTGTTTAGTGAACAAGGCTGGGATTGTGCTTGTGCCAAAGTGCACTCTGGTATTGACACACTAAGCCCAGCCTAAAGCAGGTGACAGCTCTGTGCCATTGTCTGGATCAGGGAGCTCCTGGCTCTCTCCTGGGCTCTGTCCCAGCCTCCCACCATGCCTAATCCAGGCTTCCCACCCAGCTCTCATCACCTGGACCACTGCCTGCCCCCAGACCTCCCCCCACAGCCAGCCCTCTTGCAGGAGGCCTCCAGTCCAGGCAAACTCATGGAAAAGCAGTGAGGGCAGTCCCCACAGACACACAGTGGCCACAGCCACCACCAGTGATTCAAAAATTCAGCCCACATCTCCCACCACCTCGGCTCCTCATCCTGCTCACCATTAACACCTCTCAGGCTCCAACAGGAATCCAGTTTGCAGCTTCCAACCTGATAAAATCCAACCAGCAACGATGCATTTGCTGCTGGGATGACTGTGAGCTTCAAGCAGCTGCATGGTTATTGAGCCTCCCAAATTACACAACACTTATGGATGCTTACATTAAAATTACCTTGCAATCTCTGGATTGCCTGGCAACACTTTTCCTTCAGCATGCACAAATGGTGCACTTTTCCTCTTAATTATATAATAATTGCCATGCATTTACCCAGCAGTTCAGAGAGAACACCATTTTTAACTTTCATTTGCTAATAAAGTAAGTGGTTACTCAATGGTCCAAAACAAAGCATCCTATTGTTCCTGTTGCTGGGAGTGCTTGGGCATCCTATAATTCATTGTTGAATTTCACTCTCTCTGCTTAAGACTACCCACACTTTGCTGCCTTTTTTTTTTCTGTGTACTAAACTCAAAGTTTCCTCTGAGCAGGAACTGTTCCTGCAGCAGCATCCAGCACAGCAGAGCTGGAATCTCCCAGCTGAGGCACACAGGCTCTGCTGCAATCTGAATGCTAATGGGGATATAAAAAGCTGCATCTTCATCCTTCAAGCTCTACTCAAAGACAGTCTTGAGAGTCCCATTCATTTATTAACTTCTACCAACTTTCTGAGGTGACCTGACTAATTTTGGCAGCACCTGGAAGCTTCTGGGCGGCCAGACTTGCAAACACTGATTTTATTCCCTGCTGGTTGTAGATAAAAACTGAGGTGGTGCTGCATTTCAATGTGGAGAGGGACTGAGACCCTCAAACCATGTTCCTCTGCCTTAGCAAGGCCCATCATGCTCAGAGACTTGTTCTCTCTCAGTGGTTGAGAGTAATTCCTTTTGGTTTAACCTGGATACTTGCTTATTTTGTTTGCTTTCCATTAGGTATTGTGTTTTTAGAGACAGAAAAGATTCATTTTCTGTCCAACACTTCCCTGACAATTAGGTTTTTATAAGCCTCTGCCATAGCATCTCTTCCCAAGGCAATTTTCCATTCTTGAGAGCTTTGGTCATACCTCTGTACATAAGATTTTCCAGGACCATCCTGATCATCCGTCTTGGGCCTCAGTTCCAGGGATCTCTTGTTTCTAAGACAGGCTGAACACATAATATTGCACATAATATTCAGGATACTCCTTGTCTGTACCTAAGAGCTCTCAGCGATCCAAATAACCGCACAAAAACATTTTCTACTTTCTTCTTCCTTTCACTCCAAATAATTCCCCAAATCTTGTTAGCCTTGTTGAATCCCACTAAGTAATGGGTTGGCATTTTCAAGAGAACTACCCAGAACAAAGTCCAAGTGAGAAGAGATAATTTAGAGCCCATCACATTGTATGTATTTTCAGTGTTGTTTCTCTCCCTCATGCATTACCCTACAGTCAGCAACATGAATTTTTATCTATCATTTTATCATGCCATCATTTGCTATCAATGGCATTTTCCAGCCAGTTTTCCCAGTCAGTTCTAACAACTATCTTGAATAACCCAGTGCCACCACCCATCTCTCTTATTGTTCTCTACCCTTTTTCTGGTCATTTAGGTCATTCTGGTCACTGAACAACCCAGCCCACATTATTGGCTCCTGTTTAATTGTACTGGTGACTTTTCTCAGTTGTGAAAGCTGTATTCCAACTTTCTTGATTGTCTAGCCCTTAATCCACACAAGAGCACATCCAGCCCAAGAGATTTAGGAGCTGCTTTGTGAGCTACTGGATCTAATCAAAAGCTGTTTAGCAATTGAAACACAAGGTAATATCAGGATCATCTTATCTACATATTTGCTGTCTCCTCTGGAAAACAATCAGACCTGCAAGGTGGGAATGTCCTTTGCAAAAGCTGTACTGCCTCTTCCTCCCCAGAGTCACCATGGACAATTCTTCAGTGTGCCAGTGTGCAGAGGAAGCAGCCAGAGCTGAGAGCACTGAACTCACAGAGGCTGTTTGCAAGAAGTCACTCAGATGGGCTCTGAACAGGGGTGGACAAGGACAGACACACAGGG